AGGCTCTCAGAGCGTTTTGGAACGCTCTGACAAGATCGCGGCGCCCGAGGCATCTTCCAGAGCCGCCAGATCTCAGAGATTCCCCAATCAGTGCTTGCACTGAAAAGGTCCATAGAGGAAATTGAATGATTTGGCGAAAGTTTCCCGCCGATTTTGGTGGCCGGCTGGGTTCCCGGGTTCCCGGTTCCGGATTCCTGGGTTCTTGGCCATTGGTTCCGGGCCGATTTCGGTGGGTTCCGGGCTCCCGGTTCCCAGTCGATTTCCTTACAGACTTATCGGTCTCTGTATCGATCCCATTGCAAACCATCCACTGATGCTTTTCTCTGGTGTAGAACTCTCGATTTGCCTTCGCCCGATGTTATCCTCGTCCTGGCTTCCCCTCGGGTGCCCATCTCGCAAGCCTGCAGGCCCAGCCGTTCTTTCCCTGTCTCGGCGGAGGGCGAGTGGAGACGACGGCACGGCAGGTTCGCGTCTCGAAACGTCGAGGCCGAGGCTTCCATACTTTTCGGCCTCTCGGGGCCCTCCTTGGAGGGTTTCTCCGAAGGGCTTAGGCGACCCGTCCTCCTCCTCCTCCTCCTCCTCCTCCTCCTCCCTCCTCCTCCTCCCTCCTCCTCCTCCCCTCCTCCCTCCTCCCTCCTCCCTCCTCCCTCCTCCCTCCTCCCTCCTCCCTTCTCTCTCCTCCCTCCTCCCTCCTCCTCCTCCTCCTCCTCCTCCGCCTCCTCCTCCACCTCCTCGGGTCGCCTACGGCCCCAGGGGAAACCGTGCACCCGGAAATCGGGCCTGATGCATTTTATTTGTTTTCGGAATGAGAAGCCGGTCCTGGGGAAGTGGTCGAGAGGTCGTGGGCCCGTGTCTCGACAAAAAACAATGTCTGAGGAAGGTACGGTAGGTTCGCGTCGTGTCGACCGGCGGCGACCCCGCTGCCGGTTTTCAACGTTGACGGCCGCTGGCGACCCAGGATCCGTCGATGTTGAACGATCTGACGTGGTGTCAGGGACCAACGCCGAAGTTGGCCCCCTCGTCGTCACGGCTGGACGCAGCTCGGGGAACTGGTGCGTGTTTGGACCACGGGAGGAGGGCGGGGGCAGAGTTTTTGAGCTGCCGCGGTCTCGACTTGTCCCCCTCCGACTGTCGCTCCCTGCCCCCTCCTTGCGATGCGATCTTCGGGAGCCCTTGTCTGTCCCGCGGCAGAAGTCGCAATGAGGCAAGTGGGTATTGATCGGCCACGCGCAGAGGGGGGCAGGGGGAGGGGGGAAGGCTCCTTAGAAGCGCCCCTGCTTCTTAGAAGGCGCGGGCCTTGTCTGTAGATGTAAGGCTGGCGCCTTCTAAGAAGCAGCCTCTTTCTAAGAAGCCTTCCCCCCCCCTACCCCCTTTGTGCGCGCCGACGAGGGTACCGAGGGGGACGGGATGGTCCTGAGGTTGTCCGTCGTCTGCGGCCTCCAGGGGCCCGCCAGGGGCAGAAGGCCGTCAAGAACGAACCGGGATGAAGAGAACTATAGTCTTAGGTGGGGCGTTGAGCATTTATTGCTTACGTTGAAGTTTTCCTCAAAAATCCGCCTGGAGGAGGACATGCCCGACCTGAAGCCAGGCCGGGGGGGATGCCGCGGGTGCCAGGAGCTGAGCTGTTTCCCTCGTGGCCCGTCTACGTCATGCCAGGCGTGCGGCGTCTTCCTCGCGCGGCACTTCGCGGCACGCGTCGGAAGAGACAGAGCCCGGGTCGGGCCAGGGGTCGTGCAGGGGATCGGGAGCACGGGAGGGGGATGATCCGCGTGCGAGCGTCGGGTGCAAGGTTCCGGGATGGTGCGAACGTCGAGCACGCGGCGAGCCTTCTGGTCAAGGTCCAAAGGGGAGGTCCTCAGAGAGCCTATGATCTCTTGTGCCCGACGCGGGCTCGACAACGGTTCGACACGGACTCGGCACGGTGGATTCGGCGCGTAGGCGATGCGCTCGACATGGATTCGGCGCGCAGTCGACGTGCACAGCGACGCGATGTGACCGACGACAAGGCCGCCCGAAGACGCAGCACGCAGCAGGGGCATCAGATGAGACGTCTGGCTGCCAGCAGATGCCCCACGGAAATGTCTTGCCCCCCCTCGTGGGCCCGATGGGGCCCAACAGAAGCCCTGAGAGGCCTCAGGGCCTTCCAGGGATCTCGGCGATTCCTGTGGCGCGACCCCCCATCGCATGCGCCTGCTGCAGCCCCTCCCCCGTGCCTCCACTGGTGCTGCCCTCCGCGCGGGGCCGACGGCAGACAGATGCCGGGCGAGACGGCCGACGCACGACGCGCGGAGGTCGGAGGCTCCTGCCGCCGCCCCTCCCTCCCTGCGGCTCCGCCTGGCGTGCCCTGCTCACCGACACGGCCGGTGCACCAGCCGCCTCGTCGGCATCCTCGCCGGCGGCATGGTGGTGGTGGTGGCGGAGGTCGGCGGCCCCTGCGGCCCCCCGCCCCAGGGGCCCGGCAGGTAGAGCCCGCCGCGTCGCCTCGCCAGCTCCAGTTCGCCTCCCCCTCCCCCCGTCCCAGACCCGAGGGGGAAAAACACACAGACACAGGCAGTCGTCGATTTCAGGGAATGGATGGGAAATGATGGGAAGCGGAGGGGAAGACGAGAGTCAAGAAACGATGAAAACAGACAGGGACGCCTAAGGTTGTGTCTATGTATTCGAGTGTCCCTGGGCCCCACCCCGGACAGATGGCGGCGTGTCTCTGTCGGCCCGCGGGGAATCCACGGGTCTCGACGCATCATCCCCCAGGGGGGTGCAGCGCTTTGTCCCGGAGGTCCATGGTGCTTGATGGTCCCCAGGGCTCCGAAGCAGGCGTTTGGAGGCCGAGATGGAGGAACGACGCTGGTCGGAGGAGGGAAAAGCTACCGATACCGCTGCCCTTCCTTCGTTTTCGCGTGCGGGGGGGTCCCCGCCGTTCGGCGCATGCCGGACGGGGCCAGGACGAGGATGGGGTGAACGGACCATTTGAGACCTCGCAGTTCTTTGGGGTGGTTGCGAATTGTGCACTTGATGCAACTTTCGTTGTTTTCTGGGAGGTAGGGCGCCATTGGAGACCTCGCAGCTTTCTGGGGGCCTGCGAACTGCGCAACGGTCGTCACTTTCGTGGGCTCGTGGGAGGCACGGCTCGAAGAAGGAACATCGCAATAAACATACATGTTTAGCGCTCCGCGCGGAATTCTTGGAGAGAGGTTGAAATATCACATTTAAAAAAGTTCACTGAATGTTGAATGGAATGAAGGGTGGTGGAGGACGTATGGTGTACCTCCGCTGGTGGTGGCGGGCGTATGGTGCCCACCTTTGGTTCTAGAAGGGCCGATGGTGCCCCTCAGTGCCCATCCCACCCCGTCCCCAGGGACTTCGCACCCCCCTTATGGTGGGGAGGTGGGTGGACGGGCCGCCCCCCCCCCCTGGAGTCGCACGTACTACGCCAGGGGTGGTGGGGATTTTCGCGCGGATCGGCATTGAGTCCCTCCATCCCGTTCCTTCCGGGTGCGCAAAAGCCCGCGGAGGGGCCCCCTAAGGAAGGCCCAGCCCACCCGGGGAACGCCAAAATTAGCTCAACAACCGCAGGGGGGGCCACTTGTGACAACTATTGCCCGGGCATGCGGCTTTCTGCCACTGCTCACGACCATGGCCTTGCGCAGCCAGAGCTCGTAAGCTCGTGGCCAAGACACGGGGCCCCCCCAGCGGCGCCTCCGGCGCCGCCCCTGGTGCGCTCCGCGCGCCAGGGAGCAGGGTCCAGCGCAAGATCCAAGAAATCCGCGTGGAGCGCCACAAGTTTATGTTATTTTGTTGTTGCTCGAACGGCAAAGCAGCGGAGGACGCGGACGCTACCGAGACTTCGTTGCTCTTTGGGGGGGTGCGAACTCTGCAACTGTCGTCACCTCCGTGGGATGCTGGGAGGTCCAGCGGGGTCGGGGGCCACGCGCACCCAGCCGAGACCTCGCAGCCCCCTCGGGGGGCTGCGAACTGCGCAACTGTCGCTTACTTTGGTGGGCTCCCGGGAGGTCCAGCGGAGCCGGGGGCCACGCACACCCATGTGAGACCTCGCAGCTCCCTGGGGGGCTGCTACGAGCTGCGCAACTGTCGCCATATTCGTGGGCTCCTGGGAGGCACGGCGGGGGCGACGCGCACCTAGACGAGACCTCGTTGCTCCCTGGACTGTTGCGACATGCGCAATTGTCGCCACTTTCGTGGGCTTCTGGGAGGCACAGCGGGGTCGGGATCCCCGCGCTTGGCGGCCCATGGCCCCTCGCGCGTTGCGTTGTTCCATGCAAGATGCGCGTGGGCCGCCGCGCGCGCAGCGGCCTGTGGCCCCTCGTGCATGGTGTTTTGTCCATGCAAGGTGCGCGTGGGCCGCAGCGTTTGCGCGGCGGCCCATCGCCACTCGCTCACTGTCTGCTTCCATTCAAGATGCGCGTGGGCCGCCGCGCGCGCAGCAAACCATTGGCTTTCGCGCGTTGCGTTTTTCCATGCAAGATGCGCGTGGGCCGCCGCGCGCGCGGCGGCACTGGCCCCTCGCGCATTTTGCGTTTGCCATGCAAGATGCGCGTGGGCAGCCGCGCGCGCGTCGGCCTTGGTCTCTCGCGCGTTGTTTTCCTGTGCAAGATGCACGTGGGCAGCCGCGCGCGCGTCGGCCTTGGCCCATCGCGCATTGTGCGTTTCGGCACAAGATGCGCGAGGGCCGCCGCCAGCGCGGCGGCCCGTGGCACACTCGTGCATTTTGTGTGTGTGTGTGTGTGTGTGTGTGTGTTTGTGTGTGTGTGTGTTTGTGTGTGTGTGAGGGTGTGAGGGTGTGTTTCTTCTTTTCCATTTTGTTTGTCCATGCAAAGTGCGCGTGGGCCATCGCTCGCGCGGCGACCCTGGCCCCTCGCGAATTGCTTGCGTTCGTGCAAGATGAGCGTGGGCCGCCGCGCGCGCGGCGGCCTTTAGTACACTCGCGTGTTGTGTTTCTCCATGCAAAGTGCGCGTGGGCCATCGCTCGCGCGATGGCCCGGGCCCCATCGCGCATTGTGTTTAGTTCCATGCAAGATGTGGGCGGCGGCCTTTGGCCCCTCGCGCATTGCGTCTGTCATGCAATATTCGCGTGGGCCATCGCGCACGCGGCGGCCCTTGGCGACTCGCGCATTGTTTTGTTGTTTTTCTTTCTGCGTGCGCGATGCGCGTGGTCCGCCGCGCGTGCGGCGGCCCATGGCCCCTCGAGCATTGTGTGTTCACATGCAAGATGCGGCGGCCCTCGTCGCGCCTCGCGCATGGTGTTTTTCCCATGCAAGATGCGCGTGGGCCGCCGCGCGCGCGGCGGCCCTCGACCGGAAAGTCGCCGCGCTGGCTTGCGAACTCAGGTGAACCCGAAACGGTTGCCGACTTGCTGTCCAACGTAACATACGGTCTTTACATTTTCGTCTAGCGGTGTGGCCTACATACAGCGCGCCGGCGCGCCCGCGCGCGCGCGGCGTGAACCCGTTGCCGATTGGATTTCCCACCTGACATGCGGTCTTTCCGTTGTGTGCTCGTTCATTTGGCCGCCTGAGGCCCCGCCCGCCTGTGCCCTGTCTCCCTAATTAAAGCTGTGCGTAGCCCGCCTAGCTTTTATCGGAAGAGGTTCGCTCTCGCCCCGCCGACTAGGAAGTGTTCGTCCATTTGTGCAGTTTACAATGCGCCGACGCGCGCGTTCGCGTGTCGGTTTGCGTTTTGTCCGCAATCGGAGAATCGTTTTGCTGGCATTGCAACTAACGTGAACCATTAGCTCTTGCCGATTGGATTTCCAACGTCAAATGCGGTCTTTACGCTTTCGTCTATAGGTGCAGTTTACAATGTGCCGACACGCGCGCGTGGCGGTTTGTGTATTGTGAGCAATAGGAAAGTCGCCATGCTGGCCTGGGAACTAAAGTGAACCCTTAGCGCTTGCTGATTGGAGCTCCAAGCTTAACATGCGGTCTTTACGTTTTCGTATATTAGTGCAGCCTACAGTGCGCCGACGCGCGCGGGCACGCGTGGCGTCTTCTGTGTCGCCCGCGATAGGAAAGTCTCCATGCTGGTCTGGGAACTAGATGTGAAACCTTAGCGGTCGCCGATGGGAGTTCCACCGTAACGTGCGGTCTTTGCGTTTTCGTCCATTGGTGCAGCCTACAAAGCGCCGGCGCGCGCGTTCGCGTGGCCGTTATGTTTTGTCCGCAATAGGAATGTCGCCGTGCTGGCCCGCGAACTGAGGCGAACCTTTTCTTGCGTTTGCCGACTGAGTTTTCAAATTGGAATGCGGTCTTTACGCGGTCGTGTATCGGCGCAGCTTACAATATGCCGACGCGCGCGTGTGGCGATTTTGCATTGTTCGCAACGGGAAAAGCGCCAGGCGCGGGCTACTGCACTCTGGACATCCCCCGCTAGATGCCCTGAATGCATTTACCAGAGTGCATTCTGGCGAGTGCACTCCTGGCGAGGCGACGGGGCTGAGAGCGCACTCGTGGTGAGTGCGCGCGCCGAGCGTCGGCGCTGAATGCCGGCGCCGAGTGTGACTGCCGAGCGTCGGCGCCGAGTGTCCGAGCGTCGGTGCCAAGCGTCGGCGACGATCGTCGTCGACGCGCCGAGCGTCGCCGGCGCGGGGGGCTCTAAAGACCTGCCCCCCTGCGCGAAGCCAACGCAGGAATCTGCCCCTGGGCGCGGCGTGCCAGGGCGGTCGCGGGGAAGTCCCCGGCGGCCCGGTTTGCCCCGCCTTCCTCCTGTTATCTACATGCGCATGGGAGCGCCGCGAACATGTTGAAACATAAAAATCCCACCCAGATTTTGTTTTAGAATTGCTTTTAGGCATTAGGAACACTTTTGGGATCCTTCGAGGTACATCGCGGGCCCCTGAGTGGGCCTGGGGCGCCCTTGGCAGATCCCGAGGGAAACCTTCAGGATTCGGTTGTTTCCTTCAAGGGCCTCTTAGGAAGCTGCGGGGTTCCTCGTGGATCTTTGGCGGGCCCAGAAGGGACATTTAAGGTCTTTGGGGGCCCTTGGCGGGCCACGAAGGGAGACCCTAAGGACCCCCGGTGGTCCTTAGCGGATGCTGAGGACAACGCCGGGGGCCCTTGGGTTCTGTAGCGGCCCCCTAAGGAAACCTGAAGGATCTCTTGTGGTCCTTAGCGGGCCCTCGGGATATTTATCTTTGGGGAATCCCTGGGGGTCATTGGGGGCCCTCGGCGGGCCCCAGGGAAACCCGCGGGATCTTTCGCGGTCCTCGGAAGACCCCCAGGGGAACCCTGGGGTTCCTTGGAGGTCTTCAGCGATCCCTTAGGAAAGTCAAGGGATCCTTTCGGAATCCCAAGCGCGCCCCCGAGGAAACCTTGCAGGATGCGTGAAGGTCATCAGCGCCCCCGCAGGGAAACCCAACGGATCCTTGGAGATCCTCGTCGGATCCCCAGGGAAGGTTTAGGGATCTTTGGGGATCCTTTGCGGATCCCTAGGGGAACCCTCGGGAGCCTTGGGGATCCTGAGCGGATCTTCAGGGAAACCCGGGCG